AGCCAAACCCTAAGAAGTCCAAAATCCTAAACCCTAAACCTGAAACCCTAAACCCTAAACCCTAAACCTGAAACCCTAAACCTGAAATCCTAAATCCTAAACCCTAAACCTGAAACCCTAAACCCCAAACCTGAACCCCTAAACCCTCAAACCCCTTAAACCCTCAAACCCCTTAAACCCTAAATCCTAAAAGCCCCTAAAACCCCTTAAGCCCTGAACCCTAAACCGCGGCAAGAGCCCCCAAGGTTTGAGTCCCAACTGCTGCACAGGGGCCCCAGCGTCTGAGTCTCCTTCATCTCCCGCAGTCTCGGCCCTGAGCTGACCGAATCCAAAGACGCAGTCCGAGACCACATAGCCCTAAACCAAGGGGCCTTAGTACTTAGAACAGGGTTTTCGGGTATATCATACTATAATTTGATGTATAATCGTGCGAAGGGAGAACGGTTCTCAAAAAGGCTCCAATATAGGGGCCTCAATAATTACCTATAGTACTTTGCGCGGTTCCTTATTATAATTACAGCGGTTCTGAAAAAGCAGGTTCTTTTCCTCTGGAAGTTAGATTCGCGCTACAGTACTACAGTATTTATCTTAGAGCCAGGATGCTAAAGCCAGAAGAAGCCGACCATAACAGGAACTGGCAGCTTGATTTGTAGAACTTAGTCTTGCAAGGGGTGCGTGATGCCTGATGTCGCGCTGCACCATTTCGCTGGCAACTGCTGTTTTTTTGTGGAGGGCATCTTTGCATTGGACCACATTCAGCTCTCCTCCTGGCAAGCCGGGGGGGCAGAGAAAGCCGAGCAAAGCGGCTCCCAAGCAGCGCGGTGCGAGTGCTTTCAGGGAGCGCACCGGGACGGGCAACGGCGAACCTGTACCTGACCGCAACTACACTATGTCAGCCAGAGAAAAGATCTTGACAATCAGACTGAGAAATGCTGGCCGCAAAGGTGGCTTTGATGGTTGGCGTGAAGTGAAGCGACTCTACGCTGGCTACACCGGCATATCCCCACCGGTGCATGGTGCCGCTATGCACGCAGCATACCGGTGTGGAAAATGCGCTGAGGCTGCGGCAATGCAACTCTGGGCGAAGTTGAAACGAATAAAATGACACTGCTCCACGGTCTGAAGATTTTCGGTAAACTGCGGGACAGATCGAACGTGAGTGCCATTTGGGACGAGGTTCTGGAAAGAGGTTGGTTGGACAAGTTCCGTGCCGCTGCACGGATTGATGCTGCCGCCGAGATGGGCGACATTGAGGAAGCTGCAGCCGTTCTTGATCTATTGCAGAACCGAAGCATTCCATGTGATGAGTTGCATTACACATCCGCCATCAATGCGTGCAAAAACTCATATGACAAGAAACGCCATGTCGCAGCCATGTACTTCTTGAAATCCATGATCGAGAATGCAGTGCTTCCGGATACTGTAACATTTGGGAGTCTTATGGGTTCACATGGATCGGCTCCATTGGGAAAGATTCAGCGACTGCTTTCGGAGATGGACAAATGCAGAATTCCGCCCAACGCCCCCTTTGCGGAAGAGACGTTGGCAGCAATTTTCCAAGGCAAGCTGCGAAACGCCTGGACGGTGGATGATGTTGCTGAACGCATCGGGCATGTCAGCTTGGAGCGGCTGCAGGTAGCACATTCAGTGCTGGAAGACATCAAATCTCAGGGTGTGCAGCTGACTGGACTGGGCTCTGTCACCCAGCAGTATTTGAGAGGGCGAGTCTTGCAGGACATTCAATCTTAAGATGGTCTGATCCCGGAGCAGCAGCACGGATCCCTGACACCTTCATCGCCGTGCGTGCATGAGTGTCGTTGCAGGTGCTGGCAGGCCAAACTTCCCGAGGGTCTAGAATTTGGGTTGTTCCTGAGCACTGATCGAAAGCGGCCTGCGTTTCGTGTAGATGTCGTTGAGAATTTCATCTACAGCAACAGGACGGACAGTCTTGGCTGTTGTCGCGACTGTCGAATGTCATACTTGACCCCCAGAGACACCAAAACCCTTTAATTAAGGAATATACCTTAAACTATAATAGGAACCCTAATATGATTTACGGTATATTCCTTTATTAAGGGGTTTTGGAGTCTCTGCGCCAGGCCTGGGCTAGAATTTGCCGTTTTGCACCCCCATGCCGAAGCAAGCCCCCACTCCCGAGAGAAGCCCTTGGAGGTTCCATGGGGTAGTTATGAGGGGGGGGGGGTTTCGGGTTCCTTTCAGGGTTTTATGGGGTTCTATAGGGTTTGGTGTTTAGGGTTTAGGGAGGTATAAGTGGGGTTCTAAGTCCCGTATTCTGGCTTTTTGGTATAGTTACCCTACTTATAACCCCATTTATGACCACCCATGAACCCCCAAGTAATGTAAGGAGTCCAGTAAAACCTGTGCCACGCTGACTTTGGCTTCCAAACCGTTTCCGGGACATCCTAAAGCTCCAGCTGGTTGCCGCTGACCCAGAGACTCCACAAACCCTTTAATTAAGGATCATACATACCTTAAATCATGTTAGGGTTCCCTATTATAGTTTAAGGTATATTCCTTAATTACGGGGTTTTGGAGTCTCCGGGGACCCTGATACCAACAATCTGCCCGAAGCTACTATTTCCTGTGCATGCCCTCAAGCCACGAACGAAGCGATGAACCTAAACCCCTAAACCTGATACCCCTAAACCCCTAAACACCTAAATCCCTAAACCCTTAAACCCCTAAAACCCCTAAGCCCCTATGAACCCAAAACCCCAAAACCCTTAAACCCCCTAAACACCCATAAACTCTAAACCAACTCCGGGCGGCTGCCGCCGAGGGCCCTTCAGAGCCTCGAGTTGGGCCACCTGCTTCCAAGCTTCCACGCGCCTTTGGGCGTGCACCGACTCGCGGAGGCCAGGGGGGACGGGTTTCTTTTGTGGAGCCTGGGTTTTATAGGGTGTTTCAGGTTTTTTTTTGCGGTGGTTTTCTAGGGTTTTTGTAGGGGTTTATAGCGGTTTATGTGGCTTCAGTGGGATCTTTTTGTTTTCGAAGTTGTGTGAGTAGGGCGTTTTGGAATTTTGTTAGTTGGAAGGTTTTCTGGGGGTTTAGACGGCTTTTTAAGATACCGAGTTGGTAGTCTTGCCACTGCGATTGTCACGAGTTTGCGTTCGTGTGATTATGGTTGTGATGAACCTGTGCCGTAAACTTAAGGTTCGCAGCGCAAAGCTTCTGTAGAATCAGGGTGAAATATGGCACCGTGTAGCCCAATCCACAGATCTAGTTGGGGCTTCTTTTCAGGCCCTGTCAGGCTGAGCTCTTTTTGCGGGGTGCACGCGGAGCGTGCA